TGGAAGATGGGTCCTACCTTTCCAAGATGGGTCCCACCTTTGAAAGATGGGTCCCACCTTTGAAAGATGGGTCCTACCTTTCCAAGATGGGTCCAACCTTTGAAAGATGGGTCCTACCTTTCCAAGATGGGTCCCACCTTTGAAAGATGGGTCCTACCTTTCAAAGATGGGTCCTACCTTTGGAAGATGGGTCCTACCTTTCCAAGATGGGACCCACCTTTGAAAGATGGGTCCTACATTTCAACGATGGGTCCCACCTTTGAAAGATAAGTCATACCTTTCCAAGATGGGTCCCACCTTTGAAAGATGGGTCCTACCTTTCCAAGGTGGGTCCCACCTTTGAAAGATGGGTCCTACCTTTCCACGATGGGTCCCACCTTTGAAAAATGGATCTTACCTTTCCAAGTTGGGTCCCACCTTTGAAAGATGGATTTCACCTTTGAAAGATGGGTCCCATCTTTAAAAGATGGGTCCTACCTTTCCAAGATGGGTTTTACCTTGGAAAATGGGTCGTACCTTTCCAAGATGAGTCCCACCTTCGAAAGATGGGTCCTACCTTTCCAAAATAGGTCCTACCTTTGAAAGATGGGTCCTACCTTCAAAGATGGGTCCCACCTTCGAAAGATGGGTCCTACCTTTGCATGATGGGTCCCACCTTTGAAAGATGTGTCCTACCTTTCCAAGATGGGTCCCACTCTTTCCAAGATGGGTCCCACCTTTGAAAGATGGGTCCAACCTTTCCAAGATCGGCCCCACCTTTGAAAGTACCTTTCCAAGATGGGTCCCACCTTTGTACGATGGGTCCTACCTTTCCAAGATGGGTCCCACCTTTGAAAGATGGGTCCTACCTTTTCAAGATGGGTCCCACCTTTGAAAGATGGGTTTCATCTTTGAAAGATGGGTCCCACCTTTGAAAGATGGGTCCTACCTTTCCAAGATGGGTTTCACCTTTGAAAACCTTTCCAAGATGAGTCCCACCTTCGAAAGATGGGTCCTACCTTTCCAAGATAGGTCCCACCTTTGAAAGATGGGTCCTACCTTTCAAAGATGGGTCCCACCTTCGAAAGATGGGTCCTACCTTTGCATGATGGGTCCCACCTTTGAAAGATGGGTCCTACCTTTCCAAGATGGGTCCCACCTTTGAACGATGGGTCCTACCTTTCCAAGATGGGTCCCACCTTTGAAAGATGGGTCCTACCTTTCCAAGATGGGTCCCACCTTTGAAAGATGGGTCCTACTTTTCAAAGATGGGTCCCACCTTTGAAAGATGGGTCCTACCTTTCCAAGATGGGTCCCACCTTTGAAAGATGGGTCCTACCTTTCCAAGATGGGTCCCACCTTTGAAAGATGGGTCCTACCTTTCAAAGGTGGGTCCCACCTTTGAAAGATGGGTCCTACTTTTCCAAGGTGGGTCCCACCTTGGAAAGATGGGTCCTACCTTTCCAAGGAGGGTCCCACCTTTGAAAGATGGGTCCTACCTTTCCAAGATGGGTCCCACCTTTGAAAGATGGGTCCTACTTCCAAGATGGGTCCCACCTTTGAAAGATGGGTCTTACCTTTCCAAGATGGGTCCCACCTTTGAAAGATGGGTCCTACCTTTCCAAGATGGGTCCCACCTTTGAAAGATGGGTCCTACCTTTCCAAGATGGATCCCACATTTGAAAGATGGGTCCTACCTTTCAAAGATGGGTCCCACCTTCCAAATTTAAGTCCCATATTTCAAATGTCATAACTTTCAAAGATGGTCCTACTTTTCAAAAGTTAGGTCTCCCCTTTCAAAGTCGGGTTCCACCTTCCAAAGATGGGTCCCACCTTTCAAAGTTGGGTCCCACCTTTCAAGGTTGGGTCCCACCTTTCAAGGTTGGTCCCGCCTTCCAAAATTGATTGGCTGTTATCTTTCAATGGTGGTTTCCAACCTTAAATCTGGGTCTTACATTTCAAAGCTGGATCCCACCTTTCGAAGATGAGTCTAGCCTTTCAAAGCAGAATCCTACCTTTCAAAAATAGACCTCACCTTCCAAACTTCGGTCCCACTTTCCAAATATGGATCCCACCTTTCAAAGGTTTCGTCGTTCAGAACTGAATCTAATCAAAATTAAGTCCCACTTTTCAACAAATTTCAGTCAGGCCCTTTCATACTGAATTCCACCTTCCAAAACTAGTTCGTTTGTTTCAAAACCAAATCAACCTTTCAAAACTAGGTCACACCTCGGCAAGAATGGGCCCGTAGACAGGCCCCTTGCACTGAGCGCGGTTGTGGTCGAGCCACTCACATGCCTGCTTCAGATCCCTGTCTCCCGCCCGCTCTATGCGCCGGTTGCGACTGTTCGCCACCTCGTGCATGCTGGTGGCGTTTGGGGGGGGGAGGGGGGGGAGGGGGAGGAAAGACGGAGGCAAGGGGGGTTGTGAAGGGAGAAGGGGGGGCGCGGGGGTTGGGATTGAGACATCTCGAAATCTGCTCTATGGCCTGGGTTGAACTGCTGGTGTGTGGTGGGGTGGGGTAGGTGGAGGGAGGAAATGTGATGTGACACATGCAGGGGAGAAAGCGAGGAATAAGGGGAATGAAAACCGTCTCACTTACCTCCCTCCTGACCCAAAACTCTTAAGCATAAACACTGAACCTGAATTTGAGGTTAAGCATTCGACTCAGTTGGTAGTGAAGAATTTCTAAATCTGGAAAAATGAAGCAAATCACAAATGAACGTGTGCCAACACCTTCTCGTTGGCAGACAGTATATGTGGGCAAGTGATCAACATTTGCCCACCCAGCCTGAATGTGGAGGATCAACACTATAGGCTCTCCCATTCTTGCTACAACCACCAGATGTCCGCCTTATGGCAGACAAACCTATACTCAGCTCAGAACAGTCAATCGGAATCCTCATCACAAACAGCTTCCAAGTTGCTCAGCAACAATAACCCAGTCCTCCCCCACACAGCTTTTCAGAAGCAAAACCCCAACCCCCCCCCACACCTCCCCCAGTCTCACTCTTCCCCACTCTCACCCTCCCTCGCTTTGCCCCCTCTCTCTCACCCTCCCCAACACCCTCCCGCCCCCCCCTCTCACTCTCCACCTCTCACCCTCACCGTCGCTCACCCCCTTTCTCCGCCTTTCACACAATCTCACTCACCGTCTCTCCACGCGCCCCATCTGCTCTCTCAGAACGCTCATCTGCTGCTCCAGCTGCCGCCCCTCGCGCTCCTTCTCCCCCGCCTGCATCCGCAGCTCCCTCCCTCGCCTCGCCAAAGGGTCCTGCACCAGCCAAGACGAGGGATACAGAAAGGAACAGAGGGAAAGAAATAAACAAACAAAAAAACAAACCAGGGGATCCAGCCAAGACGAGGGATCAAGAAAGGAACGAAAAAAAGGGAGTGAGTTGTGAGACGCCAAAACGCGTGCACACACACACACACACACACACACACACACGCGCACACACACACACACACACACATACACACACACACACACACACACACACACACACACAGCTGGCTGGGCTTGGCGCAGAGCTGCAAGTCGTTCTTGCAGCCCTGCCTGCGCTTGCACTCAAGTACACGTACTCACTGCCTTGCCCATGATCTCCTGGCCCACGACCATGGCCCATTCCCATGCCCCAATACACCATCCCACATACCCCCAACCCCATTGAAAATGACCGTTCTCCACGCCTCACGCCCCATGGCTCTGCAGTTTGTGTGGGAACATTCCAAATTCACCACAGCGGCTGCCGGCAGTTTTATTTACGACACGGCAGCGAGCTGAGCCCCCAAGCAACTGCTGCACCTCCTCCTGTGCGCGAGCTTGCCCTAGAACACGCGCAGCGCACCCTCGCACTCTCAGTGATTCACCCTCATCCATGATTGCATGTCCCACGTCCCAGCCTCCCGCGTCATCCGTGTGTGGTTCCACTTCCGGCAGGGCAACGAGCTGCCGCTTCTGCCGCTCTACCCGAGGTTGCCCCCACCGATGGTCTCTTCATGCCCCACGCATTTTTCTCCCTCTCCCCGCTTCCCATCACGCACCACAGCAGCCGTGGGCGGTTCCACTTGCGGCAGGGCGGCCAGCTGAGCCTGCAGCTGCTGCAGGTCCTCCTGCGCCCTGGCCAGCCGCTGCTCGCGAGTCACCTCATACCTCCGCGCATCCGCCACGGCCCGCTGCCTCTCCACCGCCTGCTGCACCTGTGGGGGCACGGAGGGCGAGCAAGTGTGCAGTGAACGGTGCACGATGTGAGGTGAGAGAGCTCGTTCAAGCTAAGCTGCTCTCCCTCTCCCGCCCTGAGCATCTCCGCACATCCACCATGTTCCACTCCCTCTCCACGGCTTGCTGTATCTGTCAGGGCAGGAGAGAGCTATAGCAAAGATGGAAGCTGCTCTTACTTCTCCATCCACCATATCCTGCTCCCTCCCTCCCCACCGCCTGCACCTGTGAGACCAGCAAGGACATGCAGGTGTGAGGTGTGAGGAGCACCTCACTTGAATACGAAAGTTTGGGACAGACTGCTCACACACTGACCACTCATTCCTCCCCCCATTGCTCTCCTCACCATCTGCTCGCATCGTCACCGCTCCTTCCACCCTTCACCACCTGCTTACTCCTCACCCCCATTGCTGCTCACCAGCTTCTCACTCCTTCCCCCCCATTCCTTATTCCTCCTCACCAACTGCTCGCTCTCCTCACCAGCTGGTCGCTCTCCTCTGCCAGTTCCCACAGCTTCCTCTCCCTCGCCTCGTTCTCACGCCCTATCTTCGCCACCAGCGATGCAAACCCCGCCCGTCTCTCCCTTAGCGCTCTGAGGGGGAGGGAAAGTGAAGAAAGACGGGGTAAAGGGCAGGAGGCAGAGAGGTTGAGTTCAGGGAGTGGTGCAGGGAGGAAAGTACCAACTTGTAGCCCAAAACCAAAAACTGGTAACCCCGCGCCATCTCCTCACGCACAGCACTCACACGAGGGGGTCCCTGGCAGCCATGACTCACACGAGGGGGTCCCTGGCGGCCATGACTCACACGAGGGGTTCCCTGGCGGCCATGACTTGTGTCTGCAGGTCGTCCCTCTCCTTGTGCCTCGCCTTCACCGCTACCTCCATCTCCCGCACGCGCGGCTTCATGCGCTCGTACTTGAGCCACGGCACCTTCTTCTTCATCAGCGCTACCTGCATGGGGGGAGAAGGGAGAGGGGGCGTGGGGGGGTGGAAGAGCAAAGAGTGCACGGAAGAGAGAGTGGGGCCGTTATCACATGCCGCTCCACCCGCTCGTTCTTGAGTGGGGAAATCCTCTTCTTCATCAGCGCTACCTATGGTGAGAGGAAGGGGGGAACAGAGAGTCAAAGGAGGAGAGAGGGGAGCGAGCAAGCAAAGTGCATCAGAATTCGCACACACCCATGAAACCAACCATCAATGTTCAACATGACACTAAATAGTCACACATACTACAGAGGAAACACGTACACAAAACCACAACCGTCCCACCCCCTTGCGCTCATCTTGCTCTAGGCCCAAACCCTCCCTACAAGCCTCACCTCCTTGAGAACGGCCTCCCTGCGTTGCACCTTCTCCACGTCCACCTCCACCTGCGCGTTCGCCTGCTGTAGCTTGCCCAGCTGCTTCTCGTGTGACACAAGCGTCTGCTTATTATGGGGGCGTAGTATGCATGATGGGGACACGGCATGCATGGGTCCAAACCTGTGTACATGGCAAGGAATCAGTTTCAAAGACATGCATAGTTTCACATGCTCTTCAAGAATTATAGAACATGCTCTTCTGGTACAGAAGGATTGTGTATATGTTCAGCGAAAAAAAAAAAAACAACAACAACAACAACAACAACAACAACAACAACAACAACAACAACAACAACAACAACAACAACAACAACAACAACAACAACAACAACAACCATTGCTCCATCTCAGCGCGTGCACGGAGCAAGAAAGAGAACCCCCATCATCCCATCCCCATCTCACGGCATGCAGGGTGGTGAGTGAGGGCGTCCTGCTGGTCTTTGAGGAAGGCGTGCTGCTGGGAGAATTACGGGTGCCATTTGAATCTACTTGCAAAAAAAAAAACCATTCCAGCCAATCATACCACATGCAGGGTGGCGAGGGCGTCCTGCTGGTCTTTGAGGAAGGCGTGCTGCTGGGACAGCTGTGGGTCGCCCACCGCCCTCTGCGTCTCCTCCAGCAGCTGCACCGGTGACATGCCCGCGAATGCACACACGTGATCCTGGGGGAGGAACTGCGGGCGAGAAGAGAGGGGCGCCAGGGGAATGGGGAAGCCGGAAGGGGTTTGGTTAATGGGGATAAACCCTAGCAGCTGCACTGCACGGGTGACATGCCAACAAGCACACACACTTGGTCTTGCGGAAGGAACTGTGGCACGGTTGGTTGGGAAGGAAAGGTGATCAAGAAAGAGAAGAAAGGGAAATTAACTGGTGGAGGGAGTGGGGTGGCCTGGTGGAAGGCATGAGTGCAGATGGGAGGCACATGTGTAGTTGGGAGGCAGGGCCTGGTGGAAGAAGGGAGAGTGAGGTTGTTGTAATTTCATAATTTATACAACATACATAGGCTAGAATTAGATCTGTAGTACACTTATAAATTGGGGGGTTGTTTAGTGTACCCTCCAACCACATTTTGTGGTTGGTTGGGATTGGTCCTTAGCTCAACCAATCCCAACCAACACACATTTGTGGTTGCTTGGGTCACAAGCAAGCTCACCCATTGGCCAACTTATTGGCCAATAGGGTAAGCTTCCCTTTCATCTCTCTCTTGCTCATTGTTTGTACTAAAGGGCCTCTTGGCTCATTATTCAATGTATCTCTTCTAGCTTTTCAACATGGTATTGTTAAAGTGTAATGTGTTATATGTTGGTAGGCTGTAGTGGGGTAGCCAATATGGGGTACAACCCCAACTAGGGTTTGCTACTTGTACCCAACTGTTCCATTCAATGCATTCATTCTTGCCTAGTTATTCTGAAATGGTATTCAGAGCAGGAGGTCCCTAGGACCTACCGACCGTTTTTTTTTAAGGGCCCACCACCGCTCGCATGCGGTTACCACGCTACCCCGTGCCCTAGCCTCGTAGCGCCCTCGTGCGCCCTCGTTAGCGCCCTCGCGCGCCCCTCGTTAGCGCCCTCGCGCGCCCCTCGTTAGCGCCCTCGCGCGCCCTCGTTAGCGCCCTCGCGCGCCCCTCGTTAGCGCCCTCGCGCGCCCCTCGTTAGCGCCCTCGCGCGCCCCTCGTTAGCGCCCTCGCGCGCCCTCGCTAGCGCCCTCGCGCGCCCCTCGCAGCGTCGCCCGCCCGCCGAGCCGCCCGCTCGCAGCGTCGCCCGCCTACCGCGCTGCCCGTTTCGCAGCCCGCCCGCCGCGCTGCCTGCTCGCAGCGTCGCCCGTCCGCCCGCTGCTCGCTCGCAGCGTCGCCCGCCCGCCTCGCTGACCGCTTGCAGCGTCGCTCGCCCGCCCGCTGCCCGTTTCGTCGCCCGCCCGCCTCGCTGCCCGCTTGCAGCGTCGCCCGCCCGCCCGCCAGCGTCGCCCGCCAGTGTCGCAGCGTCGCCCGCCAGTGTCGCCCGCCAGCGTCGCCCGCCAGCGTCGCCCGCCCGCCCGCTGCCCGCTTGCAGCGTCGCCCGCCCGCCCGCTGCCCGCTTCGCAGCCCGCCCGCCGCGCTGCCCGCTCGCCGCGTCGCCCGCTCGCCCCGCTGCCCGCTTCGCAGCCCGCCCGCCGCACTTCCCGCCTGCAGCGCCGCCTACCCACCGCGCTGCCCGCTTCGTATCCCGCCCCCCGCACTACCTGCTCGCCGCGTCGCCCGCCCGCCGCGCTTCCCGCCGAGCTACCTACCTGCAGCGCTGTGGCAGCTTCCTTTGCTCAGTCGCACTGTCGCTATGGCTTCCATCCGCGTGCTGTCGTTCGATGCTGAGGGCCGCCCTGTGAAGTTCGCCACTTGGCTGGATGACCTGCAGCTGTTCCTTCTGAGCGATAGCAAGGAGCATGTGTCGCTCTATGATTACGCGTCTGGTGCTGCACCTGCCCCCCCTGCCACAGCTGAGCTTAGTGTTCGTTCCCACTGGCAGACTCGTGACGCAGCTGCTCGCCTAGCCATTCGCAGTCACCTGCCGCTAGCTGAGCTCGAGCATTTTGGCGACTGCAAATCCGCTAAGGCCCTGTACGATGCTGTCGTTGCTCGCTACTCCTCGCCTGCCACAGCCGAGCTTAGCCGCCTCATGCTGCCGTACCTGTTCCCCGATCTGTCCACCTTTGCTACAGTCGCCGATCTTATCACCCACCTTCGCACTAGTGATGCTCGCCTGCGTGCCGCCCTTCCCACCGAGTTCTGCGCTAAGAACCCCCCTCCACTGTACTGGACACTCCACTTCATAGTCACCCGTCTCCCTGACACCCTCAGCTCAGTTCGAGACCACTTCCTTGCTCGCTGTCCCACTGAGCTCACAGTCACCCTCCTAGAGGAGCAGCTGCTCGCGGCCGAAAAGAGCATTGTAGCTGTCGGTGCTGCTCGTGGCGCTCCTCGCACCCCCATCTTTGAGGGGTGTTCTCCCTCTCCCCTCGCTCCCTCCTACGCTACTGCTGCTGCTGTTGACTTCCTTGGTGCTGAGTCTGTTGGCGCTGCTTCTGCTCCTGGTGGGAGGCGCCGCACCGGCAAGGGCAAGGGGGGCAAGGGTGGTGGTGGTGGCGCTGGGGGGGGGGGGGGGGGGGGGGGGGAGGCGGTGCTGGAGGGAGCGGTGGCGGGAGCGCTGGTGGGAGTGGGGTCGGCGGTGGAGGCGGGGGCGGCGGAGGAAGCAGTGGCAGTAGTGGCGGCGGCGGCGGTGGCGGTGGTGGCGGTGGTGGCGGTGGTGGCGGTGGCGGTCGGAGCGGTGGTAGTGGTGGCGGCGGAGGTCGGAGTGGAGGCACTGGCTCGGGCCAGAGCTCCCAGCAGCAGCAGCGTCCCCAGACGACCCAGCAGCTTCGTGAGTGGCTTGCTCAGCGTGGGACGTCGGGGGGCAGTGGCCGCTGTTCTTATGTCATTCGCACAGGTGACCGCAAGGGACAGACGTGTGGGAGGTTCCACACCCCGTACCGCTGCTTCTCCCGCCTTGACGACGCTTGGCGTGAGGAGATGGGTGCGGATGTTGAGCGCCCCCGCTGGGCTGAGCTCATGAGGGCTGGTGTTGATGTCTTTGCTCTTGACTATGATGCTATTATTGCTGCCATGTATGCATTGACTGTTAGTGCCGAGGGAGACTGTTACTTGTGTGTGCCGCCTGACCCAGGTATAGAGCCCGCTGCCCTGGGTACTAGTGAGTCTGCTCTCTCTGGTATGGTGCCCCCTGTACTTGCTCCCTCCAGTGCTGTCCCGGCTGTTTGCGAGTCTGCTCTCTCAGGTACAGCACCCACAGAGACTGCTCTCTCAGGTACCGCACCGGCTGAGGCCTGTCACACCTTCACTCTTGACTCAGGTGCTTCCCGTTGCTTCTTTCGTGACAGTACTGAGCTCACACCGCTTCCTGCACCGGTCCTAGTCTCCTTGGCTGACCCCTCTGGGGGCCCAGTCCTTGCCCAGTCCACCACTGTCCTCCCTTGTCCGGCGGTTCCGTCTGGCTCGTTGTCGGGTTTCCACCTCCCCTCGTTCTCGACGAACCTGGTGAGCAACGCTGTCATCCAGGATCAGTGGGTTGACACCTTTACCCCTGGAGGACAGCGTGTGGCGATCTGCACGTGCTCCAGGACCGGCCGTCACCTGGCTACGTTTACCCGTCGGCCGGGGTCGAGTCTCTACACACTGACCACTGCGTCTCCTCAGGTCGCTGCTGTCGGTCAGGTGTCTGCGTCAGGTCTGGTAGCCCACGCCTGTGAGTGTCGTTCCCTGTTGCACCAGACTCTTCTCTGGCACCACCGCCTGGGTCACCCCTCCTTGCCACGCCTTCGTGGCATGCACCGTCGCCACCTTGTGTCTGGTCTTCCCAGGTCCCTCCCTCCCCTCCCTGCCTCGCCTGCGCCGCCTTGCCTTCCTTGCGTCGAGGGGCGGCAGCGCGCCGCTCCTCACTCCTCCTCGTTCCCCCCGACAGAGGCTCCTCTGCAGACCCTCCACCTGGACGTGTGGGGCCCAGCCCGCGTTCGTGGTCAGGGCGGTGAGCGGTACTTTTTGCTGGTTGTCGACGACTACTCGCGTTACACCACGGTCTTCCCCTTGCGCACCAAGGGTGAGGTCCCTGCTGTTCTGATCCCTTGGATCCGCACAGTTCGTCTCCAGCTCCGCCGCCGTTTCCGGACGGATCTTCCTGTCCTGCGTCTGCACTCTGACAGAGGTGGTGAGTTTTCCTCCGATCTCTTGAGGACCTTCTGTCAGGCGGAGGGCATCGAGCAGACCTTCACGCTTCCGGACTCCCCACAGCAGAATGGGGTTGCTGAGCGCCGCATTGGCCTGGTCATGGAGGTCGCTCGTACCTCCTTGGTCCACGCGGCGGCTCCCCATTTTCTGTGGCCGTTTGCTGTCCGGTACGCCGCGCATCAGCTCAACCTCTGGCCCCGTGTCTCCTTGCCGGAGACCTCGCCCACACTGCGTTGGACGGGGGAGGTTGGCGATGCGTCGCGCTTCCGGGTGTGGGGTGCTCGTGCCCTTGTCCGCGATACGTCCGCGGACAAGCTCTCCTCCCGCACGCTTCCCTGTGTCTTCCTTGGCTTTGTCCTTGACGCGCCTGGCTGGCAGTTTTACCACCCCACCTCGCGCCGGGTCTTCGCCTCTCAGGATGTCACCTTTGACGAGTCGGTCCCTTTTTACCGTCTCTTCCCCTACCGCACTGCCCCCCTCCCTCCCCCGCCGCTGTTCCTTGCTCCTGGTCCCCCTCCGGTAGACCCCCTTCCCCCTCAGGGTCCTGCTCCTTCAGGTGTCTCTCAGGTAGACCCTCCTCCCGTCGCTGAGCCTGTCGAGGTCACAGGTGACTCAGGTGCTGCTGCAGGTGGTGCTGCTGGGAGTGCTGAGTCTGGGGGTGCTGAGCCTGCGGGTGCTGGGCCTGGGAGTGCTGGGACTGCGGGTGCTGGGGCTGAGGGTACTGTGCCTGAGAGTTCGACGCCTGGGGGTGCTGTGCCTGGGGGTGCTGCGACTGGGAGTGCTGAGCCTGCGTGTGCGGAGTCTGGGGGTGCTGCGCCTGCGGGTACTGAGCCTGGGGGTGCTGCTACTGAGCCTACGGAGCCTCGGGTTGCTGCGTCTGGGGGTGCTCCGGTTCGGGGTGCTGAGCAGT